CCAGCGACTTAAGACTGGTTTTGTGCTCCAGGGTCACATATGGTATTTTTATATTTGTAGATAATTTCATATTATACTGGCTTTTCTGAATCAATTGCCATCTTTTACAAAGCTTCATTGGATGAATAGTTCATTCCCTCATACACAAACTGAAAAAAGCATACGTTTGTAATATCGCAATGTGTCTCAGAGCTGGTTGGTTTGGTTCAAGGCTTGGAACTCTATTGATTTTTTTTTTTTTTATAATATAGAAAAAATTAATGTGGAATCCAGTGGTCACTGTTGCTCTCTATTGCATTACAGAAAAGAACAACATTTAAAGGAAAGGAAAGAAGGCTGTTTGAGTGCTGCATATGTGCTTAGCTGTTGAAGTTGAGCAATAAAACAAGTTGAACATCTGTGAACACCCAATAAAAATCTAACACAACAGCTGCTATTATCAGAACTCTTGTTTTGTTACTCAGCCAACAAATTGACAACTTATGTTTTTTTCATTACGTATTATCTCGTGAAATAAATAAAGCTGCTACACACTTACAGAAACAGAGGAAGAGTGTGTCCACACACATGGCGTATACACTAAAAAAGCCATGAGCAATTAGATAGGCGCCAAACACCACAGTCTGTAAATGAAGGGAGAGGAAGTTATTACAACCTGGAAAATTGACAGTTTGATCTTGCAAATGGAAAATCTGGTATTGCTGGATTGATAAAACTCAAGATCGCTCACCAGTATAGGCACCCAGTAATAATTAAGGGATGGAGCAGCGTCCTCCACTATTTTAATCTTGCCCGTGAAAAAGAAGAAAGAACAAATTCCTGAAAAGAGGAAGAAGAAACAGTTAGTGCGTGCTGTTTTACATTGGTGTACTGGAATGTGAGAAGTCAGTTCCACTCAAATATCCTCTGGATTCACGTGATATCTGACCAAATCACTCACCCACAATTCCAACGATGAGGAGTTTGCCCAAAAATAAGAGGAAGTCTGTCACTTTGTCAAGAACAGCCACACTAGAAAACAAATACATTTGGACTGTTTATTGTTTATTCACACAAAACACTGTCTAACAGATTTAGATGAATTTAACACTCACCGTATAATGTTCCTCATCAGAAGAAAGAATGCATCCTTGGCAGATGTACAGAAATTTTTACCATATATCGCCACCTGAAAAAAACAATACGCCAAATTGGTTTCAGCAAATATGTTTTTGAGCACATACAACATAAAATTTGCACTACTGATGCTCCCGAGCCAGAAACAATCCACAAAAGGTCAAAAAATTTGCAAAAGGGAAATGAAAATGTACCATAATATAGGCGTTTCTGTTCAGAAACTTGATGAATTTCTCCAGACACCAGAAGCAGCACTTTAGGCAGCTGAGTAGGAATTTTGCACATTTATTCTGGGCACCTGGAGGAAGCGAATCAAGATTCAAACGCACATAACAGACAGAAAGCAATGGATGAAGTATTCCATAATTACTTCCAACAGTTATTTCTTTGATGTATTTTAGACTTTTTGGTTGTCAGTCAGCATGTAATATTTGCCAAACGTGAGATAGAATCAAGATCAAAATACATTTTAAGATAATTAAAAGAAATCTGAGCTGGAAACACTGAAGTAGTGAGACCTTTCAGCTTCTGATCCACATACTCCAATATGACCCTGATGACCTGAACGATGGCAAGAATGAG